TGTAGCCCGTGCCTGCCAACTTTGCATAAACGATCAGAACTTACCTGAGAGAAATACTTCTCAAAAGCTTTTTTTTTTTAAAAAAAAAGAAAAATACATTTATTATTTCTCATGGCCACAAGTGCAAAAAGTCAATAAAATCAGAAAATTTAGAAAAATACAAAGATCACCTATAATGTTATAGCCAAATATCACTGCTGAAAACGTTCAAGTCTCCCACGAACCAATCATTACAAAATGAAATGAAAGAAAGAGCGCCAAGTAGAATAGTACTGAAACAAATGTCTGAGAATGGCTATGACAAAGGCTGTGAAGGATCTCTGCAGGGAAAATGATAAAACATTGTTACAGCAGCTAAAGAGGACTAAAATTAATGAAAAGAAACTCCAAGTTCCTAATCAGCATTATCAGATTCTACATAGATATGTATAAAATATAGACTTTATTCTTCCCAAACCAAGTTGTGTAATTCCAATCAAATGCCTCCCCATGTTTTGGGAGGAGTGTCACAAATTGAGTATAAAACTAATGTAGAAATAGAAAGGGTTAAGAGGAACCAATGACTTGATAAAAAGAGAACAGAATTCTCCCAAATATACAAAGATTTATAAGGCTATAGTAATGAAGACAAGGTAGTATTAACTCAAGGATACAAAAAATAGACCAATGGAAAAGAGCAGAGGCCAGAAACAGACTCCCACATAGATGGGCTCCGGGAATATTTAAGAGGTGGCTTTGCAAAGAAGTGGAGAGAGCATGGTCCCTTCAACAAATACTGCTGGGATAATTGAGCATCCACATTGGAAGAACTGGAACTGAACCCCTTCCTCACATGCCATATATCAATAAACGCCTTTTGTTGTCTGTGGTTTTGGTGTCACATCCAAGAAATCACTGGAAAGACCAATGTCATGAAGTTTTCCCCTGTGTTTTCTTCTAGTAGTTTCAGTTTCAGGTCTGATGTTTAAGCCTTTAATTCATTTTGAGATGATTTTGTGTGTGCTGTAAGGTAAGGGTCCAATTTTATTATTTTGCATGTGGGCGTTCAGCTTTCCAAACACCGTTTGTTGAAGACACTGTCCTTTCCTCGCTGTGTATTTTTGGCAATCTTGTCAAAGATCAGTTGGCCAAGTAGGCAAACCACAGACAACAAAAGCAAAAATAGGCAACCGGGACTGCATCAGACCAAAAAGCTTCTGCATAGCACAGGAAACAATCAACGAGCTGAAAAGGCAATCTACGGAATGAAGAAAATATTTGCAAACCATATATCTAATAAGGATTAATCTCCACAAGATGTGAGGAACTCCTACAATTCAATAGCAAAAAAATTAATAACCTGATTTAAAAATGGGCTAAGGATTGGAATAGATCTTTCTCCAAAGAAGACATACAAATGGATAGCAGGTGTATAAAAAGATACTCAGTGTCACTAATTATCAGAGAAATGCAAATTAAAATCACAATGCAATATCACCTTACACCTGGTAGGGTGATGATCATTTTTTAAAAAGAAAATGAACAAAAGATAACAAGTGTGAGGATGTAGAGAGGTGGGAACTCTTGTACTTGTTGGGAAGCCACTGTGAAAAACAGTATGGAGTTTCCTCAAAAATTAAAAATAGAACTACCATATGTTCCAGCAGTACCACTTCTGAGTATTTACCCAAAAGAATTGAAATCAGGGTATCGACGAAATAACTGCATTCCCATGTTCACTGCAGCACTATTCACAATAACCAAGAAATGGAAGCAACCTAAGCAACTATAAATGGATAAATGTGTTAAAGAAAATTAATGTATGCAGTGCACACAATGGAATATTATTCAGCCTTTAAAAACAAGAAAATTTGTCTGGGTATGGTAGCTGTGATCCCAGCACTTTGAGTGGCCAAGGAGGCAAGATTTTGAGGCCAGGAGTTCAAGACAAGCCTGGATAACATAGCAAGACCCCATCTCTACAAAAGATTTAAAAATTTAGCCAGGCATGTTGGCACACAACTGTAGTTCCATTTGCTTATGAGGCCAAGGTTTTCCCTGACTCCTAGGATGGCTCCTAGAAATGCAGAAAAGTGTGAAATTCCAGAATTACTGTGGAGCTGGTGGAAGGAGTTAAGAGGCCAAGGGAAGTGGGCGCAGTGAAGAGTAGTGGATATGTTTGCTATGTAAGTCTGGAAATAGAGTTCTAGGGGACAAAACATTCCCCAAGGCCACAAGGAATGTGCTCCAGAGGGGGCACCTGCATCACGAGGTGTTTTGATGGTGGCCTCCAGGGGAAAGGGGCTGTTACAGAGCTTGCATTGATAAGGGCGGTAGGGCAGGCAGGACTCCCAGAGCAATAGAAGCCAAGTGGGCGCAATGATTATAATGAGTGGTGAGGTTGGAGGGGCAGCCAGGGGTCATGACCCATACAGAGTTAGGGACCTGATGAATACAATGTGGCCTCCTAGCGACTTAATGGGTGAGTCTCTTGAAAGGGCACTACTCAATTTATGCCATTAGAAGAAATCAAGGCTGGATGACCAGGGGGTTAAGGACAGTCGTTCCAATAAAAAGTCATCCATCCTTTCCTGATTGTTGGACCTGACCCAGTTCTCAGACTAGACTCCAATAACAAGGAGGAGGCAGAGTTCCCTTGGGAAAGGACCCTGCAACAACATGGCATATATAGTAATGGTTTCCCCCAAGGGACCTCTGGCCATTGATTCAGAGGATGATACGCTGAAAAAGGGGAAACACTCAACATTTCAAAGACTGTTGGGCAGAGGATCAACATTGATAACAATGCAGGAAAATCCAAAGTGTCACCAGATTCTGTCTCCATCAGAGTAGGGGCATGTAGGAGCCAAGAGTGGAAAGTGCAGCCCCGGCCAAGTCAGGCTTGTAATTTGCCCGCTGTGTCTGTGGACCTGCCTGGTGATCATTTCCCTGTCCCCTGAAGGTATGTTCGAAGAGGACATGCTTGGTGAAAGACACTACCGCACATTAGCATGAGGTTAAGTGAGAGCTATCACAGTGAGGAAGGTCATGGGAATGCCTTTGAAACTGCCACTTCCCTGGCCAGGATAGTAAATCAAAACCACTATTACATCTCAGAGCGAGGGAAGTACAGAAATTCGCACCCTTTCATGAAGTCATAGAGGACTCTGCAGCTGCCTATAGGCTGCAGTACAAGTTGCCCCTCTACTTGAGCCATACCACCATGGCAGACTCCATGGTGTTCCCACTGTCAGTCATAGGAAAAGATGTCCTTCAGAGATTATGGCAATATCTAATTAGAGAATTATTACACAGACACTCCCAGGACTCTGGAGCAAGCCCATGTCATTTGCAGCAAAAACGTATATGCCCTTTGAAAAACAATTCTGGTGCACTACTGGGCCCTGTTGTAGATGGAAGGCTGATCATGTGGCCATGTGGCTCTTCAATTGAGCAACTAATTACCGATTCCATTAATCTGCTGCTGGTTTTGGCGTTGTTATAACATGAAACACTCTCAAAAGGCAACACAAGTTCATTTTCCACATCGTAAAATACAGGGAGGCCATTACATTGGGATGTCCACACTTGCCTATCAGCATGGAGTGTGCAATGATGGATTTTATGTGATAACTTGACTGGGCTAAGGGTGCCCAGATAGCTGGTAGAACATTTCTGGGTGTATCTGTGAGGGTGTTTCTGAAAGATATTTGTATTTGAATCAGCAGACTGGCATTATCTAATCCAGTCTACAAACAGGACACAAAGACTGAGGAAGGGTGAATCTGCACTCAGGTTGAGCCGGGACATTCATCTTCCCCTGCCTTGGACATCGGTGCTTCTGGGTCTTATGGTGCCAGAGTAGGAAAAATAAGAATTCAATGAATGAGGACACATGAAGACCATACAATGGTGATTAAGAACATGAGCTTTACAGAGAGAAGGGTTAGGGTTCAAGTTCAGATTCTGCCCCTGACCAGCTGGGTGACCCTGGGCAAGCACTGTAACCTCTTAGAACTTTGAGTTCTTCCACTTATTATTGTGAGAATAACAACAAAACCCATCTCACAGGGATGCTGAGAGGCTAAATGGAAGAATATAATCTGGACAGACCAAAGACTGCTTCGCAGCCACCCAAGTGACCAGCAAGTCAGGTGATAAGAGCTTGCTTAGTTCTTTTGTGAGTATCTGTGAGAGTTTTATATTTTGGAGTCTTATGAATGATATGCTGGTTCTTCATCCCAAGAACAGTGTGATGATGTGGCAGTGTAAGTCAGTATAATTGATTCTTTAATCCAGTGATTTACCTAGGAGGGCAGAACTGTCCAAAAGAAATATGTCATGTAATGCAAGCCACATGTGTGATTTCACATTTTTTAGTAGCCACAATTAAAAAGGGAAATAAAATGATGAAGTTCATTTTGATTTTACTCAAATATATCAAAAAATACCACTTCAGCACACAATTTAAAAAATTGTCAGTTGGCAATAACTTGGCATTCTTTTTATTTGTACTGTCTTTGAAACCAAGTATACATCTTACACTCATAGCACATGTAGATTTAGACTAGCTACATTTCAAGCATTTAATAGATACATGTGGCTAGTGGCTGTTGTGTCACACAGGGAAGTTCTAAAATTTTTCTCAGAGTTATGGAGAAAGGATGATTCCAAGATGCTTATTTCAGGATTATTAGTAATAGGAAAACGATCTAATATTAACTTGTTTTGCACAAATGTCAACTCCATGAGGACACGGACTTTTTTACTTAAAAAATTCTGGAAGTCTTGGCTCTGCAGGGTCATGAGGACAGGGATTTCTGCCTTCTTTTGTGCACTGCTGTGTTCCCAGTGCCCAGAGCTATGCTTGGCACATGGTAAATTCTCAATAAATATATCTTGTTATATCAACGTATACACACACACAGACACACACACACACACACACACACACACACACACACACCTAGATATGCATCTGTACTTCTTGGATCTGTGCCTTGAAATTAATAAACACCCAATAAATGGTATTTGCTTTATTTTTATTGTCATTGATAATACATTAGATATAATCCTCCCACCAGGTGCACAGAAGAAAGTCAGGGCTGGAATTTCATTCTCTTACCTAAATCTCTCTGTTCTCTCTCAGGGAATATTTTCAGAGAATAGGTGGAGTGAGACAAGGCTGAGGGGAACGTTAGCCACGATAGGAGAGAGGGCATAGAAGGCCAGGGGTCAGGAGACCTGGATTCTGTCTTAGATCGTGCACCAGCTCACTGAGGACCTTTGTCCTCTCTGGATCAAGGGTCCCACCTGGAAATGAAGGGGCTGGTCCAGATAACACTGGAACCCTTTCCCCTAAGATGCCCTGGCATTCAGAGGATGGTGCATGTCCAGTTCTCTTCCGCCTGTGGGGTAGATGCTTTCTGGAATGTGCTGGAGCCCTGATAAAAATAAGAGGGCTCATGTGTTCTGATGTAACCATATTTCTGATACATCCTCGGATCGTAGGTCTCATCGTCCTCACTGTCGCTTTTCGTCTGAAAGGGTGAGACACGTGATCACATCAGGGAGTCTTCCTACCTTGCAGCTGGAGCTCACTGAGCTTTTATGGTGGACTCTATGACATGCCAGCTGGATCCCCCTTTGAGGAAGGACTAACAAACCCCAGCTGCTGAGACAGTGGTCAGCAGACAGACTTCAGCTGTCAGCCCATTTAGAGGTGGCCTCAGCTGCAGAAAGTCTTTTGCTTAAGGCTATGCCCTTTCTCAAGGTGCCCAAGCACAGTGAGTGATCCATGTAGGGATATAGAGGCCTGGGCAGCTCTGTCACTGTGGGGTAGCTCTAAAGTCCATTCCAGCTCCAGGTCTATCCTTGGAGTTGGCTGAAACTCGCATCTGCTCTGCAACCCCGTTCACTTCTCCCTGTGCTCTCTCCTGCTTCCTTCCTCTCCTTGCTTCCCCCCTTTTCCATGAGTGCTTGTTCCAGTGGTGCTTCCCCAGAACACCCTGCACACTAAATTCTATCCCAGAGTCTGCTTCCTAGGGAGCCACCTGCACCATCATCAATCCTTTGGAATCAGATTCCTGCTTGTGGTTGGAAAGATCCGGGAGTGAGTCCTTTGCCCCTACTTAGCCATGTGACAACCCAAGTCCTGCTCAGAGTCTCCCATTGGCCAGATGAGAGGTGTGGATGAGACAAGGCAGGTTGTTTAGCACAGTGACATGAGCACTGGCTTTGGAGTCCACTGAGTTTGCATCCCACTTCCACCCCTCATTAGCTGATGTCCTTGAGCGAGTGACCTCACCTCTCTAAGACTTTGTCTCATCTGTAAGTTGGGAATGATAGAAAACACAACTCATGGGACTTCTCAAATAACTAAAAATAGAATGTCCATTCAACCCAGCAATCCCACTACTGGGTATCTACCCAAAGGAAAAGAAACCATTCTGTCAAAAGATGCCTGCACGCATATGTTTATCACAGTACTATTCACAATAGCGAAGTCATGAAATCAACCTCAGTGAGCATCGGTGGTGGATTGCATGAAGAAAATGTGGTCTATCTACACTATGGAATATTATGCAGCCATAAGAAAGAATGAAATCATGGATGCAGCTGAAGGCCGTTACCTTAAGGCCTTCAGAATTTAAGCAGAAACAGAAAAACAAATACTTAACATCTGCTAAAGATGGGTACAGTAGACACTAGAGATTCCAAAAGGGAGGAGACAGGGAGAAGGGCAAGGGCTGAAAAAATTCCCATTAGGTACTATGTTCACTGACTGGGTAACAGGATCAGTAGAGGCCCAAACCCCACCGTTACACAATATAGCTGTGTAACAAATGGCACATGTGTGCTCTGAATCTAAAATAATAAAAATTTTTAAAAAGAAAGCATGCCTCATGGGATTGTTGTGAATATTTAATGAAATAGTGTATATTAAAGGGCTTAGGACAGAACCTGAGGCCGAAGCAGGCAATCAATAAGTAGTGTTAGAGATTATTTATTATTACTCTCAGGGGAATGAACTCTGGACAAGGGATGTGAAAATTCTAGAAACTCTCTGTTTGTGACCAAAATGACTGTAAAATATGGAGTACAGCTTGTAACTATGTGAATATAAATGGCCTTTGGCAAGAGGTAAGTACATTGGAAAGAATGGTCTCCAGTTCTAGATCCTTGAAGAATCACCACAGTCTTCCGCAATGGTTGAATTAATTTGCAATCCTACCAACAGTGTAAAAGCATTCCTATTTCTCCACATCCTCTCCAGCATCTGCTGTCTCCTGATTTTTTTAATGATCACTATTCTAACTGGTGTGAGATGGTATCTCAATGTGGTTTTGATTTGCATTTCTCTAATGACCAATGATGATGGGCTTTCTTTTTATCATGTTTGTTGGCTACATATTCACAATAGCAAAGACTTGGAACCAACCCAAATGCCTATCAATGATAGACTGGATAAAGAAAATGTGGCAAATATATGCCATGGAATACTAGGTAGCCATAAAAAAGGATGAGTTCATGTCCTTTGCAGGGGCATGGAAAAAGCTGGAAACCATCATTCTCAGCAAACTGACACAATAATAGAAAACCAAACACCACATGTTCTCACTCACAAGTGGGTATCGAATAATGAGAACACATGCACTCAGGGAGGGAAACATCACACACTGGGGTATGTGGGGGTTGGAGGGCTAAGGGAGGGATAGCAAGAAGTGGGGGCATGGGGGGATAGCATTAGGAGAAATACCAAATGTAGATGATGGAGTGATGGATGCAGCAAACCACCATGGCGCATGTATATCTATGTGACAAACATGCACATTCTGCACATGTACCCCAGAACTTAAAGTATAAAAAGAAAAAAAAAAGAATGGTCTCAAACTATATGTCTCAAGCTGCATGGAGAGGGGCAGGGATGAATGGCAGGGAGGAAGCAGGAGGTCTCACCGACAGAGTCCAGGAGCTCACTGGGGACCCATCCCAATTCTTAAAGCACGGGTAATTCAGCCAGTTCTCTGCCTCTCGTGCCAGCTTCCACCAACCCTTTGGGTCTCCACCTAAGTTTCCTGTAGGGTCAGCCGGGTCCAGAATCACAGGCCTGTAGAACAACATTGAGAGAGGGACAGGTGAGGAGCTGGGGCTCTGTCCTGGGAGTCCAGATGCTCCTGGCAGAGCGAAATGCAGCCTGGGATGGGCTGGGACTCAGAGCATGAGGAAGGGCTCCCAGGGTTACATCCCCAGTGCCCTATTCCCCAGCGGGCAGTGAGCATGGGGAGAGGGAGCCTTGCACTTGCGCCTGACAGATGGGGGTTTGAATCCCACCTCTGCCCTTTACCAGTGATGTGCCCTTGGTTAGGTCACTTGAACTCTCTAAGCCTCAGGTTTCTTTCTGTCAAATGCGGGTACTTCCACATGCCTATCTCAAAGGCTATAGTGTGAGGAAAGAAAAAGCCAAGTAATGTGAAATGCTTAGCACAGTGACTAGAATATAACACACATGTCAGTCATATTGATAATAATTTTTACTATTGTATTAGCATGTGTTAGTCTTACAGCAAGCTTTCAATATCTGGGAGCAATTACTATTATTGTTGTTGCTGCTGTTCTTATTTCAGTTCAAATTCCAGCTATTTTACTCATTTTCTGTTAAGGATTGGACAAGCTCCTTACCTCTCAGAAGCTCAGTTTACTCACCTGTAAAATGATTGTCATAGTGCCTGCCTCACAGGGTTAGAGGTAGGCATTTAAATCAAATGGCAGTAGTAAAATGCCCAGCACAATGACAGGCAAACAGATTCTCACCTAGTGAGGATTCCTCCCACCTCCTCCATTTACAAGGCACTGCACCTGTATCCAGGTGTTCATTTACATAGGAGAGCTCATCCACGTGGGGATAGCATACCTGGGTTTGCTGAGCTGCCTGCTCAGGTACTCTCTAATACTGGGGTTTTTAAAGTCATAATACTCTTTCCAGTAGATGCAGAGTTGCTGGTAGTTTATGACTAATTCCAAGACCGTCCGAAATCCCTGGGCTGTGATGAAATCTGTTTTCATGCTCCCTTGCTCCCAAGCATAGACCGTCAGGAGTTCCAGGGCATACTGAGGTGGCAGTGGCTTCCCAAGCTTTTCCTTACACTGAGAAGAGGAAAAACAATCAGAAAAAAAATGGGTTTGCTCAACTTTTGTGTAAATTACATTTTTTATTGGTCCAAGTCCAGCCTGCCACCTGTTTTTAGATATAAAGTTTTCTTGGAACAAATCAAGGCTCATTCATTATTGTATAGTTTATGACTGCGTTCATGCTACAAAGGCAGGGTTGAGCAGTTGCAACAGAGAACGTGCAGTCCACAAAGTCTAAAATATTTACTATCTAGCCCTTTATTTTTTAAAAAAAAATGTTGGCTGGCCTCTTGTTAAGAGTTCTGGATTCTTGCTAATGTCAGTTTGAATCTGGCTTCACCATTGTCCAATTCTAAGTAGATGACTTAGACTCTCAGAGCCTCATTATTTTCATCTGCTAAGTGAGTTGTCAAAATAGCATCTATCTTAGAAGGATATTATGAAAATTAACTGAGAAGAAGGACTTGTAATGTTCCTAAGAAATGCACAGAAGCAAACGAAATTCTTTGTGGAGGAGTATACATAATCCAAAAACTCAAATTATTTTACAAATAATTTTCAAATACCATGATGAGTACATATGTAACCAGGCACACAAGCAAACAAAACATTAAGAGTGATGACCAACAAAAAAAAAGAGAAATAGTAATAAACTTATAAAACTTTAAATAGTGACGGATTAAACACAGACTTTAAAATAACTCAGAACTCTACAAGGAAAACTACAAAACACTGCTGAAAGAATTCGTAGATGACATAAACAAAGGAAACACATCCCAGGCTCATGATTTGGGTAGAATCAATACTGTGAAAATGACCATACTGCCAAAAACTATCGGCAAATTCAATGCAATTCCCATCAAAATACCACCATCATTCTTCACAGAACTAGAAAAAAAACAATCCTACATTCATATGGAACCAAAGAAGAGCCCACATAGCCAAAGCAAGACTAAGTATAAGAACAAATCTGGAGGCATCACATTACCAGACTTCAAACTATCCTATAAGGCCACAGTCACCAAAACAGCATGGTACTGGTATAAACATAGTCACATAGACCAATGGAACAGAATAATGAACCCAGAAATACAGCCAAACACTTACAGCCAACTGATCTTTGACAAAGCACAACACGAAGTGGGGAAAGGACACCCTAATCAACAAACGGTGCTGGGATAATTGGCAAGTCACATGGAGAAGAATTAAACCGGATCCTTATCTCTCCTCTTATACAAAAACCAACTCAAAATGGATCAAACACTTAAGTCGAAGACCAGAAACCATAAAGATTATAGAAGATAACATCGGAAAAACCCTTCTAGACATTGGCTTGGGCAAAGACTTCATGACCAAGAATCCAAAAGCAAATGCAACAAAAACAAAGATCAATAGATGGCACTTAATTAAACTAAAAAGCTTCTGCAAAGCAAAAGAAATAATAATTAGCAGAGTTAACAGATAACCCACAGAATGGGAGAAAATCTTCACAATCTATACATCTGACTAATATCCGGAATCTACAGAGAACAAATCTACAGAGAACAAATCAGCAAGAAAAAACAAACAATCCCATCAATAAGTGGGCTAAGGACATGAATAGAGGACTCTCAAAAGAAGATACACAAACAGCCAACAAGCATGTGGGAAAATGCTCAACATCACTAATTATCAGGGAAATGCAAATCAAAACCAGAGTGCGATACCACCTCACTGCTGCAAGAATGGCCATAATAAAAAATAAAAAATAATAGATGTTGGTGTGGATGTGGTAAAATGAGAACACTTCTACACTATTGGTGGGAATGTAAACTTGTACAACCACTATGGGAACCAGCCCGGAGAGTCCTTATAGAACTAAAATTCTAATGGGATTGCATTAGATCCAGCAATCCCACTACTAGCTATCTATCCAGAGGAAAAGAAGTCATTATATGAAAAAGATACCTGTACATGCAGGTTTATAACAGCACAATTTGCAACTGCAAAAATATGAAACCAACCCAAATGCCTATCAATCAATGAGTGGATAATGTCACACACACACACACACACACACCATGAAATACTACTCAGCCATAAAAAGGAGCAAAATAATGGCATTCACAGCAACCTTGATGGAAATGAATACTGTTATTTTAAGTAAGTAACTCAGGAATGGAAAACCAAACATTGTATGTTCTCACATATATGTGGGAACTAAGCTATGAGGAAGCATAGGCATAAGAATGATACATGGGACTTTGAGGACTCGGGGGAAGGGTGGGGGATGGAGAGGGTTAAAAGACTACAATTGGGTACAATGTACACTGCTTGGGTGATGGGTACACCAAAATCTCAGATATCACCACTAAAAAAACTTACATGACTAAGCACCAGCTGTTCCCCCAAAAACCTAACAAAACTGAAAAATTAAATATAAAAAAAATAGTCCTCTCTCTGTGATCAGTGGTTTGAATGAGGACAGGTAAGGAGAGGTATCAGAATCATATATGTATAGATATGAATCGGTATGTGCTCATGTCACAGAAAAGAAGTGCAAATAAAACATCATACTAAAAAATAATAAAAATTTAAAATAACTAGGAATATCATATTCACAGAATAAAATAAAAACTTTAAATAGTTAGTAGGGAATTATGCCAGGTGTGGTGGCTCACGCCTGTAATCCTAGCACTTTGGGAGGCTGAGGTGGGTGGATCACCGGAGGTCAAGAGTTTAAGACCAGCCTGACCGACATGGTAAAACCCTGTCTCTACTAAAATACAAAAATTAGCCAGGCATGATGGTGAGTACCTGTAACCCCAGCTACTCAGGAGGTTGAGATGGGAGAATCTCTTGAACCTAGCAGACAGCAGTTGCATTGAGCTGAGACAGCATCACTGCACTTCAGTCTGGGTGCCTGAGGGAGACCCTGTCTCAAAAAAAAAATTAGTAGTAAATTAAAAGCCATAAGAAGTAACATGGCAGATATAAAAAAATGAAATAGAAATTTTAGGATAAAAATGGCAACTGTAATTAATAGCTTAACAGTAAATTAGATATAGCTAAAGAGAAAATTAGTTAATTCAAAGGTAGATTAGAAGAAACTATTCAGAATAAAGCATGAAAAAACAGACAAAAAGATAGGAAATACAAAAAAGAGTACAGAGCTATGAAAGACAGAGTAAGGTCTAACATACATTTAACTGGAATTCCAGGAGGTGAGGAGACAACGGGGGAGAATCCATATTTTAGAAGAATGGCTAAGAAGTTTTAAAACTGAAGATACCAATACACAGATTCAGGAATCTTAAAGGAATCTCAATCTGGACAAATTATAGGAACCCATCATTAAGACACAGCAGATTGAAGCTAAACAAAATCAAAGACAAAGAAAATCTTACATGCAGCCAGAGGGAAAAAAACAGGTTACCTACAAAAGAGCTGCAGTTAGACTGGCAACTGACTTTTTAATGATGACACTGGAAGATGGAATGACATATTCAATGTGCTGAAATGGCCACTGAGCAAAAGCACCCTTCAACAACGAAGGCAAAAACATGACATTTTCAGACAAACAAAAACTGAGGGGGTTTACTCCCACTAGGCCATCATCAAAAGAAATCCCAAAGGATGAACAGTCATTTAGGAAAATGACCCCACATGGAATGTTAGAGGTGTAAGAAAGAATGAATAGTGAAGAAAGCAGTAAATCTCTGAGTAGATTAAATAAACATTGGCTCTAAAACAATAATAATGCTTTGAGGCACTTGAAAATATAGAGAGACTTGAAATAAGAAATGTAGCATGTAAGTTGGAGGTGGTAATGATGGTGATTAGTGGAGTTAAATTACTGTAGTCTTGTCTTGTTTTAAAGGAGAACAGCATAAAGAAAGAAAGAAAGAGACAATTCTGGGCTGTGCAGGACTCTCTTGATCATTGTACAACTAGTATTTCTGCCTTTTTCCACTAAATATAAGTAGCATCCATGTCCTCCTATCACCATGGTTACCAAAACACCCTCATTAATTTTCTTTTCTTTTACTTTTTTTGACATGGAGTCTTGCTCTGTTGCCCAGGCTGGAGTGCAGAGGCCCAATCTTGGCTCACTGCAACCTCCGCCTCCTGTTTTCAAGTCCTTCTCCCATCTCAGCCTTCTGAGTAGCTGGGATTACAGACACATACCACCACACCTAGCTAATTAAAGGTATATAATTATATATACATATATATATATATATATATTATATATATGCACACATGAATCTGTGTGTGCTCACGTCACAGAAAAGAAGTGCAAATAAAACATAATACTAAAAAATAATAAAAATTTAAAAATAACTAGAAATATCATGTTCACAGAATAAAATAAAAACTTTAAATACGTTAGACCTTACTCTTTCATATCTCTCTCCCTCTCTTCCTCTCTCTCTCTAAGTAGAGATGGGGCTTCACCATGTTGGTCAGACTGGTCTCGAACTCCTGACCTCAGGTGATTCACCCGCCTCAGCCTCACATAGTCCTGGGATTACAGGTGTGAGCCACCGTGCCTGGTCTAATTTTCGACATGTCCCCGGGGGCAGTGCTGCTTTTGTCAAGAACTGCTTTTGTAAATTCTACCATGCTCAGGCTCCATGATTAAAAATCACGGAACAGCAAACACTTAGAAGTCTAGCAGCTAAATGATTGTCTTGTTTTACAAGAGGTGTTATTTTTAAATTGGGAAGTTTATCCCTGATTATTTTCATGCATTCATTCAAGAAACATATATTGAATGCCTGTTATTATCAGGCAAACTCCTAAGTCAGTAGACCCAAATTCAAGTTTTTGTTTGTTTGAGACAAGATCTTGCTCTGTCACCAGACTGGAGTCCAGTAGTGCAATCTTGACCCACTGCTACCTTTTCCTCCCAGGCTCAAGTGATCCTCCTACCTCAGCCTCCCCAGTAGCTGGGACTACAGGTGCTCACCACCACACTTGGCTAATTTTTTAGTTTTTTGTAGAGACAAGGTTTTGCCATGTGGCTCAGGCTAGTCTCGAACTCCCTGCCTTGGCCTCTCAAAGTGCTGGGATTACCGGTGTGAGCCACTGTACCCAGCCAAATTCAAGTTTTACTTCTGCTACTTATTGGCCGAATGAGTCACCTGACCCAGGAATTACTCTTGTTGACCTAAGTGTAAATGGGTTTAATAATAATACCTGACTTTATCTAACTTACAGAATCACTGTGAAAGTTGACTAAAATTCAGGGCATTTAAAGTGAACAGAAAAGCATATCACATCTTAGATAAGCTAAGCACACAATACATGTTAGCTTTTATTATGTGTACTCTTGTGGTGGCTAAAAGATATCGTATTTATTAGCACCAGCTATATGCCATTTTACTCTAGCTGTTACATGCTACTCTTTGCAAATGAGAAAACAGAAAGAACAGAGAGGTTAAGTTGCTTACTCAAGGTCAGCCAGCCAGTAAGTAGAAAAGGCATCTGAACATATATTTGTTTGAAACTCTTGTTTTGTCTTATCTACCTTCTGAAGAGTGTGGTTGACTCTCTCTCTCTGTCTCTCCCCCCCCTTTCTCTCTCTCTCTCTCTCTCTCTCTCTCTCTCTCTCTCTCTCTCTCTCTCCCCCTCTCTCTCTGTGTGTATGTAGCACTGATTCATGTATTCAACAATTATTTACACCTATTACGTACCAGGCTCTGTTTTAAGTTCTTGGGATACAGCAGTGAACAGAACACCAAAATCCCTTCCTTCCTTCCTCCCTTCCTTCCCTTTCATTCTCTTTCCTTTTTTCGTTGCAAACTCCTCCCTCCTCCCTCTCCACCTCTTTTTCCTTTCTCTCCTCTTTCCCTCCCTCTATCCCCTCCACCACTCCCCCTCCTCTTTCCTTCACTTCTTTTTCTGCTCCCCCGACACCTCTTCTGCTCCCAGTCCAGACAGGACCCACAGTGGCCGGGCAGGAGGGCCATACATTTTGGTACCAGTGCTTGACGAGGCGGATGAGGCTCTTGAGCTTGGGGGGGCGCTGCTTCAGGAAGTTTCTCTGTAGTTCTGTGAAGCAGGTGGAGAACTCGCCCTCTTTCTGCAGGTAGACGCACTCGTTGATGAGCCTGACATAGATTTGGGGGTCAGGTTTACAGGTGTCAGTCAGCTGACCTGTTGAGGCAAAACCTACAACTTAGATGTCAGCTCTTCTCTGCGGTTCTTTCAGTCACCCTGGGGGACAAGCTCCCTGGCCATGGGGTTCGACTGGAAAGCGCATTAGACCCAGGGCTGAGAAGCCTGAGGTCCATTCTCGATCCTCCCTCCTGCCCTCTCCACTGCCATCACCCCATCCAAGCCGCCACCGTCACACGCCTGAATGATGGCGGCAACCTCTTCGCAGGCTCCCCCACAGCCTGTTCTCTCCCCAGCACCTAGAGAGAGCTTTTAAAATCTGATCTTGCTGCTTCCTGCATCCCGCAACACCTGGAATTAAAAAACCCAGAGTCTTTATGGTGGCCAGTGATGTCGGGGCGATCTGGTCTCTGCAACCTCTCCCCCTCACCTCCTGTCTTGCTTCCTTTGCTCACTTTCTACTGCTCTGACTTTTTCTGTCTTCTTCAAACGTGCCACGGTCATTGCCGCTTCAGGGCCTCTGCCCTTGCCGGTGCTCTTCCCAGAACCGCAGATCTTCCCATGGTGCACTCCTCACCACTCAGGCTCAGGGGCCCTCCCTCACGACTCTAAAACAGCCCTGAACACCCATGGCTGTCTATTGTTTCACCCTACTTTACTTAGGTTTTTTTTTTTTTTTTTTTTTTTTTTTTTTTTGAGATGGAGTCTTGCTCTTTCGCCCTAGGCTGGAATGCAGTGGTGTGATCTCGGCTCACTGCAACCTCCACCTCCTGGGTTCAAGCAATTCTCCTGCCTCAGCCTCCCAAGTAGCTGGGATTATAGGCACCCACCACCACACCCAGCTAAATTTTGCATTTTTAGTAGAGATGGGATTTTTACCATGTTGGCCAGGCTGGTCTTGAACTCCTGACCTCAAGTGATCTGCTCACTTTGGCCTCCCAAAGTGCTGAGATTATAGGCGTGAGCCACCACGACCAGCCTTCTCCCTCTTATTTTTTTTATAATCATTGTACTCCAGTCCCCAACACAAGATGTTACACAAAGGAGAGAATCCAAAATTTTCTCATACCCTGATGTCTTCAGAGTGTCAGCATTTTTTTTTTCATGGCTGCCCTAGGCCCAAAGAAAACCCTGACAGTTCCTTTAATTAAGTACTAATTACTTCGCTAATTAACCACTAATTGCTACATAATTACCAACTATTAATTACTGTAGTAGCCACTAATCACTAAGTTCAAACAACTTAATAGTAGCTGTTTGCATTGTGTCTGACAGATGTCATTGCATTTCCCTCAAAAATTAAAATCTAAACTATTCTGTGGCCCTCTGTGAGTTCACTGTGGTGTTCTGAGGTGCCTTCATATACAGTTGGGAAATTCATATTTTTGAATGATTGACTGGTTGAGGCAGGGTCTTGCTCTTGCTCTGTGCCCAGGCTGGAGTGCAATGGCATGTTCATGCCTCACTGAAACCTCAAACACCTGACTGGCCTCAAGGGATCCTTCAGTCTCAGCCTCCTGAATACCTGTGGCCACAGGCATGTACCACCACACCCAGCTAATTTTTAAAATTTTTTAGTAGAGATAAGATTTCGCTTCATTGCCCAGGCTGGTCTTGAACTCCTGGGCTCAAGCGATCCTCCGCCTCAGCCTCCCAAAGTGCTGGAATTACAAGCATGAGCCACTACACCTACTGGAAATTCACATTTTTGAACACCTATTACTCATCAGACCTGAATGTCTGATGAGTAATAAGCATTAAGTGATCATTTACCACTTTAAATAATGATATGATAGAGGTAGCGTGGTTTTACCAATTCTCCTGATGTGGAAATGGGGCCTCTGAGAGGTTACACTTCCTGTTCAAACGTTCCTGCAGGTTATAAATATCTATCTCCCAACCTGCTGCATATGTTTGATGAGATCTCCTCATGTTGGGACAAAGATGAAAGTAACATGAACTTTAAGCCACATCTTTGCCTGTCGGATTTTAGAAAGATAAAATTCACATGTTTTGCCATAACCAGAACCAGTAAGCCTTGCAGCTGTTCCGTAAGAAATGTCTTTGTCCTAGAATTATGCCAATTTGCTGTTTAATGTCTCTTCTGTAATAGATCATGATGTTAGTCATTCTTGCCCAGGGAGAGATCTTAAGATCTCCTCCTCCCACCCTGCTTTAGAGGGATGCCCTGTTGGGGCAAAAAAAGGCTCAAGCTGTGAGAGATTTCTGCTCCAAAATGGGAAAATGGAGAGAAAAGAAGTTGGGAGCTCTCACCCAGGGCATCAAAGGCAGGCAGCACGTCAAACTCCACTCCCTCCCTGAGACGGGGCGAACTCAGCACGAAGCTCAGCGCACGGGGGCTGTCCCAGTGCGAAGTCTGGACCTCAAACTTCACGGAAAATACTCTCTCTCTTTGACAGGCTTCCAGCTGTCTCCTAATTTCCCGGATGAATTCTCCCCGGTGCTTTAACTGATCCTGAAAAGTCGTGAGAGGACTGAGGAAGACAACCAGGTCAGCGTCAGATTTGCCTCTGAGGGCGGTGCCTTTGCCCGAGGAGCCACCCTGAAAAAGACAAGCACAGTAACCGACGTGTAGCGAGGCAAACCTCCCTAAATAAAATGACAGTAACAATCACTAACATTATGGAGCACTAGCCGCTGTTCTGAAGGCATTGCATGTCTTAAAGTCCTATCATGTTCGCAGCGATGCTGTGGTTTGGGTACCATGATCATTAGTTTCTATTTTACAGATGGGAAAATGGCTGATCAGTGAGATTATCGATCAGTCCCACCACCCAGATAGTAGGTGGCAGATACAATTCAAACCTGAGGGCCTCCATCTGGGATATGTGTTCTTTTCCTGACTAGCTTATGCTTGGTGGTTCACACTTAACTATTTACTTAATCTGCACAACCCTATGAGGTACTGAGGGGAAGAAGAGGGAAAAACAGGTGAACGGTGAAGGCTGGGTCCTGGAGAAGCAGCCTGCCTGAAACTGGCACAGGGAGGGCGCCTTACGTAAAACAAATCCACAGTTATACACACAAGAGAAGCGGCGCTGTGTGCTTGCCTAGAGACGTCCTCACAGCTGCGTAAGGTAAGAGGAGTTGCACAGCTTTACTGACAAAAAGTTTCTCAAAACAGTTATAGGGAAGAGAGCAGTTTCTTATAAAAGGTTTTTGCATTCGGCTGTAATCTGGCAATCCGCTCGGACTCCCCTCTCTGTGGCGGAGAGAGCTTTCTTCTTTTGCTTACTAAACTTTCGCTCCAGGCTCCCCTCTGTGTCCATGTTCCCTAATTTTCTTGGACGCAGGACAAAGAACCTCAGGTACTAGTTCAGACAACGAGAAGCTGCTGCATCAAGGTGCATTGGCGAGACTGCAGCAGTATTGGGGATTGTGACTGAAGAAATTGGGACACAGAGTAAAGTGACTTACTCAAGGTCTCACAGCCAGCAGGTGATAATTTGCTTTCTAAACATTCCATTCTTCACTGCAGAAATGGTGAGCCCTAGCCTGGCCGCTGATGACCAGAGCTGGGCTTCTGTTTCTCTATTTCTGAAGTGGGCATGGCCTAGGACAGTGGTTCATAAACTTTGGGGGGTGCTCACTTGTTAATAATAGGGATGTAGGCTTTCACCTCAGATTCTGTCTTAGCAAGCTATGTGGATAAATCAGAAGATCTCAGTTCTCTGGACTCACATTTGCACCCTGGATTCTAGATTTTTGCTTCTCTCTCTCTTTCTGTCTCTCTGTCTCTCTCACTCTCAGTCTCAACTGTTGCACATTCAGCCACCCCTCCCCGGCCAGGCAGGCCTGGACTCACCTTTACCACCTTGGACACCCGCACGGGGTAGGAGCTGTCTCGGAAGCACCTTTCCTTCAGGAATCCACAGATGATGTCAATGGCTTGCTTGATTTGCCTGCGGAAATGCGTGTCTGGCAAGAGATTGCTTTCGATGAACTTGTCCAGATCTCTCGCTGGGGTATTTCTGAGCTCCATCATTGACAGGAGAGCCCGTGGCAACAGAACTGCCTCCTGGACCTATTAGCTTTTATCTCTTCTGCTGGCCGAGTCTGGGCTGCTGTTGGTTTCGTTTCCTCAGAAGGGAGGAGCCGTCTTTGCATTTTCCTTTAGCAAATCAAACACTCTCCTGATCCCAGAGCTGAATTTCACCTGCTTACTCTTCCGTGTTCTGGAACTTATTCTTTGTCCTTTAACCAGCAACTAGCAACCCAGCCTTTCTCTGAACTCTACTCTGGAAATGAATTTTAATCCCCAGCCAAGATAAATCATACATAACAGATTTTGTGTTTCCTTATCTTTTTTTCTTGTTGACAAAAATCATTTCACAGTCATCTGTGGTTTTTTCCGGCAATACTCACCCGTTGCAAAAAGAAAAAAGTCAGAAAAACCAGGAAGTGGAAAGATCATCTGTGATTCTAAAACTAAAAAATTGACACTATAAACGTTCTTACGTAGAGCTTTCCAGATTATTTTTTTTAGTGTGAACACACACACAAACACAGGTCTCTTTTCTTTTTCTTACAAATGGCATTATACTATGCTTTTTTCCCTTTCAATTAGTATATTTTTATTTTTTTAAATTATTTTTTGGAGACAGGATCTTGCTTTGTTACCGAGGCTAGAGTGCAGGGGCATGATCATGGCTCACTGCAACCTCAACCTCCTGGGCTCAAGCAATCAATCATTCTGCTTCAGCGTCCTGACTACCTGGGACTACAGGCATACGTTACTGTGCCCAGCTCATTTTTTTATTTTTTGTAGAGACAAGGTCTTGCTATGTTGCCCAGGTTGGATTTTATTTCTTACAGCAGTTTCAGGCTTACAGAGAAATTTAGCTGAATGTACAGAGAGTACCATAAGCTGTCTCTCCTTCTGCCAATAAGTTCCTCTATTATTAACAGTGCTGTGATAAATTTGGTACAATTGATAAATTGATATTAATACATCATAATTAACAAGAGTCCATTTACATTAAGGTTTACATTAAGGCTCACTCTTGTGTCCTACAGTTCTATGGGTTTTGCCAAACATAAAATGTCATGTATCCACCATTACAGCATCATGCCGAGTAGCATTGAGGTAGGACAGGGGACTCAGCTCCAGAGGCGGGGCTTGACTCTGGACCAGATTGAAGACTGGCTGACACGCACTGCAGCAGCATGAACAGTGTACTTATTCCCTGGCAATGATCCAGAAGTTACCATCCTTTTTCTAGAAATTTCTGAATAACCTGCCCCTTAATTTGCATGTATTGAAAAGTGGGTATGAATGTGACTGCCCAGAGCTGCTGCTCTCCACGCACTGCCTATGGGGTGACCCTGCTCTGCAGGGGCAGCCATGGAGCTGTAACCCTCCCTCCTCAATAAACCTTTTTCTTCCTCCTCTAGCTCACCCTTGAATTTCCTTCCTGGACAAAGGCAAGAACCTTCCCTGGTGGTGCCCCAGTTTGAGGGCTCCCCTGCCATGCAACAGTTTCAAAATCCCCGGGGCGTCACCTATTCAACCTTCTCTGAGTAAGAGCTTGCTTCTTTCCTAATATATGTGTTCAACACTGTAAATTTCCCTCTAAACACTACTTTCACTACATCCCACACTTTTTGATAGGCTGCTTTTTCATTTTAATTTAATTCAAAATGTATTTATTTATTTTGCAGAGACAGGGTCTCACTCTGTTGCCTAGGCTGGGGTGCAGTGGCACACTCTCAGCTGACTGCAGCCTTGACCTCCCAGACCCAGGTGATCCTTCCACCTCAGCCTCCCAAATAGCTGGGACTACAGGTGCATGCCACTATGTCTGGCTAATTTTTGCACTTTTTGTAGAGACGCGGTTTCACCATGTGGCCCAATCTGGTCTCAAATTCCTGGGCTCAAGCGATCCATCAGCCTCCCAAAGTGCTCAGATTATAGGTATGTGCTACTGAGCCTGGCCCAAAATATTTAAAATTTCTCTTGAGACTTCATCCTTACCCCATGTGTCATTTAGAGATGTGTTCTCTAATCTCCATATATTTTGGAATTTTCCAGCTATCTTTTTTTTATTGATTTCTTTTTTAATTGCATTGTAATAAAGAGCATACTTTGTATGACATACCTCTGTTGAAATTTGTTAAAGTGTGTTTTCTAACCCAGAACATGATACGTCCTGGTGAATGTTCCGTGTGAGTTTGAGAAGAATGTGTTTCCTGTTGTTGGACGAAATATTTTGTAAATGCCAACTATCTTATGACCCCTCTCTTAGCCAGATTATTCATGGATTGGCACTCCCCATTCCTACTGTATAAGACATTGACTTCTGCCTGAGACTCAATGTCACCATGGGGGTGGGGTGCTGTCTTTCCCCTACTCACTTTATTTACAATTGAAGATTCTTGCTGCACTGTATGCAAGTAATTAGGCCAAGTATGACAAAGCAAACTAGTCCTGCAATGACTCATCGTTAGTAAAAATGGGAGACTGGAGAAACGTTATGTTTCAGAAACCATAATGCACCTGTTGTTAGAGTCTAGTCTTGCCTAATGCTTTTCAATATTAATTATTTTCCATAGTTTTGACTGAATTCTAATTCTTTTGGCTACAAGTCTCCAAAATAATGTTTTCCATTTTTCCTTCTTTTCTCCCCACTTTCCCTAATTTGGAGTCACTGAAAACTGAGTCGTGCTTTCTCTTGAGACTTCTTCCTTCCCGTGTGTTATTTAGAGGTGTGTTCTTTAATCTCCATATATTTCGGAATTTTCCAGCTATCTTTTTTTTTTTATTTTTATTGATTGAGAAAGCCCTGAGAACTGAAGCTAGACAACTGAAACTTCAGAAGGAAAACAACAACATATTTGCGTACATAAGCCTCTTTGATACCTGTCTACTGATGTGTGAGTGATGCGGCTTATATCTTGATTTTCCAGGATTGTTCTTTGGTTTGCTGTTGTTTTCCCTCCTCCCGCCATGTTCTCTTAATAGGGTGTGAAACTTTACAACCTCCTAAAAATGAGCATTCTTAATAACTCCAGACCTACCCCTCTAGTAATAAACCATCCTAGCCATGAGAGATCAGACAAAACCTGAGACCAGAGACTCATTTTCTTCTAAAACGCTTTCTCTAAAAGATTTAAAAAAGAAAAGGGGGGAAATGGGAAAGGAAAATATCTTGGGACCCCAAAATCATGATGCTAAAGGGAAAAATCAAGCTGGGAACTGCTCAGGGCAAACCTGCCCCCGTCCTGTTCAAAGTCACCCCTCTGCTCACTGAGATCCATGCGTATCTGATTGCCTCCATCGGAGAGGCTAGTCAGAAACTCAAAAGAATGCAACCGTTTATCTCTTAATCTACCTATGACTTGGAAGGCCACTCCCCACTTTGAGTTGTTTCACCTTTCCAGACCAACCAGTGTTCATCTTACATATGTTGATTGACGTCTCATGTCTCCCCAAAATGTATAAACCAAACTGTGCTCTGACTGCCTTGGGGACATGTCAGCAGGACCTCCTGAGGCTGTGTCATGGCATCCTCCACCCTGGCAAAATAAACTTTCTAAATTAACTGAAGAAAAGAAAAGAAAAGATTCCGGCTAGGAGCGGTGACTCATGCCTGTAATTTCAGAGGTACAGGCAGGAGACTCACTTGAGCTCAGGAGTTTGAGACTAGCCTGGGCATCAGCGAGACCCTGTCTCTAAATAAGTAAGACTTTATTTGCTCCTGTAGTGAGACCCTGTCTCTAAATAAATACATGTAAGATTTTGTTTGCTCCCAAATGGCAGTTGCAGTTGTTAAATATTTTTGATTAAATTATATATATATATAAACAGATGTAAACAGATGTGTGTAAAGATTGCTGTCCTTAGAAAACTAACATTGAATTCTTTGGAAAGATGCAATAAAGGCAAGCATTGCACAGAATTAGCTAAGAGTGAGATGACTGTAAAAGATTGAGAAAAAAGTTGAAGCAGATCCACTCATGCCCAGGATTATGCCCTCATGCGTAAAGAAGGTGGCTTTAAATTATTGTTTCCTTTAAAGGAACAGAAACAGGAAATTATAGACCACTCATTCTTGTGCTCTGAGAGAAAGATAGTGTAGGACTCCAGTGAGGGAGCCTGCCCCAGCAAAAAGGTCTCAGTCTTCAAGTAATGAATAGGAAACAAAGGCGCATTTGTGGGTGTAACAGCCTAGAGAATCATGATGCTTTGGTGCCTACCTGTGTAGTCAGAGAACCGAAAAGGGAAAGAGACTTATTCAGCGTCACACAGCAGATATGAACAAGAGCCAACATAAGATAACTTTTTTTTTTTTTTTTTTTTTTTGAGATGGAGTCTAACTCTGTTGCCCAGGCTGGAGTGCAGTATCATGGTCTCGGCTCACTAAAACCTCTGCCTCCCCGATTCAAGTGATTCTCCTGCCTCAGGCTTTCAAGTAGTTGGGATTACAAGCATCTGCCACCACGCTGGCTAATTTTTTGTATTTTTAGTAGAGATGGGGTTTTTCCATGTTGGCCAGGCTGGTCTCAAACTCTTGACCTTGTGAACTGCCCTCCTTGGCCTCCCAAAGTGCTGGGATTTATAGGCGTGAGCTACTGCACCTGGTCAAAAGATACCTCTATGTGCATACTTTTGCTTTCATTATAGTGTTTTTTAAAAAATGTTATTTATTTATTTGAGATGGAGTTTCACTCTTGTTACCCAGACTGGAGTGCAATGGTGCAATCTCAGCTCACTGCAACTTCTGCCTCCCAGGTTCAAGTTATTTTCCTGCCTCAGTCTCCCAAGTAGCTGGGATTACAGGTGCCTGCCAACACGCTTGGCTAATTTTTTGTATTTTTAGTAGAGACAGGATTTCACCACGTTGGCCAGACTAGTCTTGAACTCCTGACCTCATGATCCACCTGCCTGGCCTCCCAAAGTGCTGGAATTACAGGCATGAGCCCCCACGCCTGGCTAAAAATTATTTTCAACTATGAATACATAATAGTTGTACATATTTATGGGGTGCATGCAATATTTGGGATACAGGCATATGATGTGTCATGATCACATCAGGATAATTAGGGTGTCCATCACTTTGAATGACTTGCTTAACCTCATCAAGCCAATATCCCTGGCAGATCTGATTGAGCTGAGCAAGGGTCAGCCTGGCAGCTTTCAGAGCATTGAGTGTTTAATCCACTGGGCCGT